CTCTCTCTCTCTCTCTCGTTCTCTGCCCGTGTCATCATCGAGATCATGAAGTTCGTCCCGATCTTGTTGCTTGTCGCAGCGGTCGTTTTCGCCGCCGAAGAGAAGAAGGAGGAAGAACGTCCTAAAACGTTTAGAAGACTCATACCTGCTGACGTTCTTCGCGGTGAGTCTTTCTATCTTTTTTTCTTTCTTTCCCTCATTCTTTAAAATTTCAAATATTTGAAATTTATCTGAACATGAAGTTCATCATTTGAAATACTTTTTTAGTCTAATATAAATTTTCCTCATGGATGTTTTCTCTCAAAAGTTTAGGAGAGCTTGCTAGGTGGATTTGATCATCAATTTTAACTTGTGAGGAAATTGTGAGAATAGTTCTAAATTTCTAAGAATATTTGAACAAATCTTTTACTCTAAAATTATCAATTTTTTGAAATATAATAAAATATAGTTTAGAACTTAAAATACTACCAAAATCTATTACTCTTTTGCTGTTACATACCCATATTTTGTCAAATCAAATAATTACGATTGATAAATCCTTTCTTTCTTTCGTTTGTATAATGTGCACCCGATATCACATTATCATATCAACTATATCATAACGATGCCAGTTCTTTTGAAACGACAGGCGTGATCCACTTGGAAAATGTCTAAAAAATTAATAGAAGAAATGATCGAAAATCATATAAACGTACATAACCACTTTGTTAATTGTTCAACACGTTTTCTTTGCTTCGACAATGAAAACCATTTCCACAATTAAAAATGAACAACAAGTTTGCAGAAACGTAAATCATAGTTGCATTTGACAATTTTTGCTTCTTCGACTTTTCACTTACAACCAAAAAACGTGGTCTTATGATGTTTCCAACAATAGAAAAAAAAAAAAGAACAAGGATAGATATATATCTTTCTCGTTTAAAAAGCCAAGAAGACAATTGTTTATGAAGACAGACGGGTTCATCGATTCGTAAATCCTGTCGCGTAACAATTTAAATGAACAGCGTATGCGAAGAAAAGAATAGGAAACGGTAGCAAGAGCACTGGCACCGCGTGAAAGTCTTCGTGGTACGAGGACTTGTTTCTTCTTCTCCGATCGGTCCCGCAACCTGACTCATTTCGTTTTCTCGTTTCCATTTTATATGGAGTATACTCGTTCGGAGAAGTTTGATCTCAAGGTGAGACACCTTCTACGAAAACTAATCTCGATTCTAAAATTCTCTCGCTTGAACAGTGTCGTTTTTTTCATTCTGAAATCAATTTAGTACTAAAGCTTTGCAAAATAAAATTAATACTGTTGACGAAAATTTATATAATCAATCGCTTCCCTACTCACCGTTTCGCATCGTTTAAAGTTTCAATTACCAACCCAAAAATTATAAGGTCAATTGTCCAAGTCTTATCGAGTCTATGAAGCGCAAATTATTATTCCACGAAGGGAAAACATCAGCAGTGTGCAACTAGGTGATCATAAGACATAAAAACTCACAATGACGACGTTTCAGAGAGCACAATGTTTATGCAAACCAGTTTAAGGAAGTAAGTTAGCGGCAGTTATCATGTGGAAATCTTACGCGAAGTTACGAGACTCGATCGTTTATCGCCAATAATCATCAGTGATGCAGAACTCAAGTCCTTGATTTTTCTCATTTGCTGATCCGTTCCAATAATTTACAATTAGATACCATTGAAAAGGATCTAAGAACAATCCGGAGATCGCGCCTTGTTGATTCACACACCGTTGGCCTGGTTACTCCGTATTTTTTCACTGCGGACCTAGATTCCGATGAATAATCGAATTACTGACGAATCGCTGGCGGCAAACGCCGAACATGGTGTCGTACATTTATGTACGTACAGTGTCTTCGTCGGCGTCGCCACATTAAGGACACTCTATTTGTAGCCTGTCAAAATAAGGATAATGAGATTACGCAAAGTTGCGAAATTTTCGATCGAAAATAGGCAACGTCAATCGTTTCACAATCGAACGAACACTTTACGCACGACTGATTCACTGATACGTGGAATAACACCAGAGAATTGTACCAGCGAAAATTTGTAATCTGCCAAAGGGACTAGTTGCGAAACATAAAAAAAGAAAGTTTTTTTTTTCACTGATACTATGCCGGATAATAAATTTTCAAAATATAGAATATCGATACTTTTCGGTGGAGAAAATTTATGCAAATATCAAGTGTCGTCAGTGCGCGTTAAATTAAAT